AACATGCTATTAATTTCTTGGAATAAAGACATGTTTTATTCATAATTACCCGTGTCCAATGACTTTTGGTAGGATAGTGTATATATCTTGCCCAACTGGGGCCTGGAACTTTCTACAAACTAGAAGACGCCAAGATACTCACATAGCGAGAAAAACTTAGAGGTTTCGAGAAAGATGCGTCAACAATACTACAACAACTGAACTACACAGAGAGAGAGAGTACGACTCTTACCAAGTTACGTAACGAAATTTGTCATAACTATTACTTTTAAAATAATTAACTTTTAACACTCTTGTTATGAAAACGAAATAATCATTAAATATTAGATCACTTAATGAACTAAATAATAACTCTTTCACTAAACACGTCTTGTATATCCAACAGAGTAATAATTTTAACAACTTACATTTAAAATTAAAGTACAGAATAATACATTGAAGTTAATATTTGAATGGAAAATTGTGGTTGTCTTATTAACTAAAATATATCAAAAACACAAAGAATAATAGGATGAAACATATATATATATAAGAGGTTAACGTCCGTCTGTTCACTAAACTCTTCCCACAGTTTAAGTCCAATTTGGATGAAACTTCACACGATTTTTCAACATCATAAGAGGAAGTTTCATGGCATGATATACATTGTATGTGACACTGTCAAAAACTGGATCACCTGACAACATGTTCATACTCACAACAGAAGCAGATAAGAAAACTCGCAATGTTGTATATCAAGTTTTTTAGTCAGTGGTAAAATGTTCAAAAAGTTTACTTATATTCTATCGATTGAGATTGTCATAGTAAAGTCATTGGGCCGAAGGAACAACAACGCCTTCCGCAGGTACTAGCACAAATAATCGCCCGTAGGTCGGCTTTTCTGCTAGTAATACATAGGGGTAGATATACGTGTGTATAGTAAAAAAAGTAAAATGGGAAATTCTATCGCTTATGCACGCGAAGGTTATTTACTGTTTTCTAACAGTTTCTATATCACAAATACATCCAAAATATTCATTCTGTTAGTTCCAAATTCAGTTAACATTTTATTAAAATTAACATTGCAAACAAATGATGAATTGTTCGTATACAACGTTTAACCAATTACCTTGTTAAAGAAACATATTACGAACATATCTTGTTGATTGCCGTTTTATATTTTACAGACTTAATCGAATTATATATTAGCTAGCCTAGCCATTTAGACAATATCAGTGCATCCACTTTACGTTATATATTAATCGCTATTATTACATTTTATCGCTCGCTCACTATACTGCCGTCATGCTACTGTGAGAACGATAATATCAATTGCCACCAAAACAATTTTGTAGCTATCCGATAATTTAGTATTAGACGTAAATATAAGTATGTATAAACAATAAACAGTCGTCAGAAGAATCACCATTTTGTAATTTACCATCGTGTCGCTGTACTGCATTAATATTGTTACTCAAAATAAAATAGTTAAAAATTACACAGTATATTATCTTCACAAGGTCTATGCGTTACATAAGTTTTAAGTTTTTTAGGAACCACAAAAACCGATATCTATTCAAGATATCAGGATTAATAACGACTCAAAATATCCAAATAAATTTGAGACGCATAAACGAAGCCTACCTCTGTTGCAATACTTTGATTCGCTCCATTATCGAGAAGGAGGCGAAGGATGTCATCGTGATTTTCTTGGGCAGCCATATACAAGGGAGTGAAACCGTTCTGAGACTGAACATTGACTTTGGCGCCATTCTGTAGTAGAATCATCACCACCGGTTCTTGGCCAGCTAGAGCTGCTATGTGTAATGCTGTATTTCCTTTCTGAAAGTAATGACAGAAAACAAAAACATAATAACAATATTCACTTAAATACAATAGTAATGTTGAGTGAAGTAGAATGCCACCTATACTACCAACACAAAGCACGAATTACTTAATCGTTGGATCTTAAACTTTTTAGATGGCTAAAAAGAATTCGTATATTAGTTGCTTCTTGTTATGCGGTGAATATGAACTACTTTTCTACGTCTTATCAAATTCACTGCAGTTCTACAGATCTAGCTAAGAATAAAGAGTGAAATTCAATGGGACCACACTACATATTCTTAATCTTTTGTAAGATATATCAAAACATGACACTGACCCAACGTCGTTGGAGTTTAACTTGACTCACTAAAACACTTACTTTCAATAAATTGTATCTTTTCAGTATATCAATGCGCACGTAGACTATGGTATCACAAAGCAGATACTTCGACGATATGTCATATTTTGTTTTTGATATAGTACCTTATATTTTATGCTCCATTAGCTGGTTAAACTGAAATTTAAGTGCAGTTTGATCACCATATTTTTTTTCTTTTTTCAGAAATCGAACAGAAAAAAGTGATCAAAATAATTTTGTTTGTTTTTGCGCAAAGCCACATTGGCTATCACCTGTGTCCGCCGCAGGGAATCGAACCCCCCCCGGATTTTAGCGTTGTAAGTGTTTAAACTTACAGCTGGCTCACCAGTGGAATAATCAAAAGAATTATTCGAATTGTAGTTTTAAATTGTTTTAGCTCTCTTTCATGGAATCTTTTCACTGGGTATTTTTAATAATTTGTTTTTCCTATTTTTATTTTGGTTCCTTCTCGATGACCTAGCGGTAAGCTTAAGAGCTTACAAAGCTAAATTTCGGAGTTTGATCTCTGCGTTGGGCACAAGCAGCTCAATGTGCAGCTAGTATATTAAAGTATGGGCGTATTGTTTTGCTTTAGGTGGATTGAAAGAGACAAAGACCGATATTCAAACTGAGATGAAAAAAAAGCACTTTGTTTACTGAAACTAAACAGAAGAATGGCTGATTGTTCAGGTGATTGGACTATTGTGTTGCTGTATTTAAATCTATGTGAAAATAAATGGACTGAAAAAAAGACTATATTTAAATGAAAAATAGAGAAAATAAATTGTATTTACAAAGGTGAACAGAAATAAACGTTACTTGTACATAAACGGAAAATTATTTTAAATTGGACTTAAATTGGACCAAAAACCTCATTAAAATTATAGGAATTTTATTTGATCTTATATAGTACCATTAGTGACAATTACAATTGACAACTACTTATTAATTGAATAAGTTAAAAATACTGTTTCAAGGAAAATGAAATGACGCTTTCCCCACTTACAAAAGCACAAATTATCAAACAAATAGCCAACCCAGAGTTACTTTTTTTTCCTTCGGCTAAACTAGTCTGTTGCAGCGGGAGTAGAGAATCAAAAAATAAATTAAGCTTCTACATAATCTTATCTTCACTGAAATTCACGTTGTAGTGACGAGAAAATAAATAAATAACCTGTTTTTTCACTGAATAATAATGAATAATTAGTTGCGACGGTATGTCATATATTATCCAAACACCTTTTTATTAGTGGCAAGTAAAGGACTATATATCTAAACCAAGCATATTGTGGTGTATGTGAGAAAATACGAATCATTTCGTGAAAAATAGAAATATATACGAAAATATATACAGCTCATTTGTCTATTTTTATATATGATTTTTATCTCGCAGAAACGTATGTTTGTTTTGAATTTCGCGCAAAGCTACACATGGGCTATCTGCGGTAGCCGTCCCTAATTTAGCAGTGTAAGACTAGAGGAAAGGCAGCTAGTCATCACCATCCACTGCCAACTCTTGGGCTACTCTTTTACCAACGAATAGTGGGATTGACCATCACATTATAACGCCCCCACGGCTGAAAGGGCGAGCATGCTTGGTGTGAAGAGGATTCGAACCCACGACCCTCAGATAGCGAATCGAGCGCCTTAACCACCTGGCCATGCTGGGTACGTGACAAGATGAGGTGAGTGATGAAGAAAATGTGATTAGTGGGTAGAAAATAGTGGCGTCGACTGATGTCGAAGCTAGACAGAAACACGAAGACCAGTTCACACAAAGTAGTCGCGAAGGTGAAAAATGGAGAAAGATTACGAAAAATGTAAAGAATTAAACCCGAAATTCAATAAACGAGCCATCAGAAAACTGATGAGAGAGTTAGTAATATCCCTATGAAACATATTTCCACATCTCACAAAGTTTATTGGGGGCAAAGCCCTCTGAGTAGAGCCTGCAATAGAGACAGTTCCCTTATCAATAAAAGTCACTAACGCCCATCACACCGACACGCGCACACGTACAGATGCACGTACAAGCAAACGGTCCTTACAATAAATAATAAGGCCACATTCAGTGTTTAATAAGTAGTTCTATTATAAACACTATATATGATATACACAGCGTGGTCACAAGTAAATAGACACCACCTTTTCAGAAAAAATGAAAATTTTTCAGTCAGGTTTTCCAAAATCCAATTATATATATACTTAGAATCTGAAAGTATTATTATTATTTCCCTTAAAGACGTTTTGTTTATTTCCCACTGGCTCAGTGGTAAGTTTAAGGACTTATAACGTTAAAATCCGTGATTCGATTCTCCTTGTTGAACAGAATTCAGGCAGCCTATTTTGTAGCTTTGCGCTAAAACAAACAATAGCTTCGCCTATCTTTTCAGTGTGTGAGAACAAACAATTACAATAATAAAATTAAAAGAGTTAGAATTTCAATGTTAAGCATGAACATATGCAAAACACCAATAATAAACCGGTACTAGATTTGCATAACTGAAGATTGCATTCCCACATAGAACATTTATATTATCTGTCATATTTATGGGAAATAATGAACAATATAATATCAGGGAGGTAATGTAGGTTCCTAATATAAATCTAGTACTTTCCATTCAGGTTAAAATTAAAACGCTTATTTTTATTTTAAAACGTACTTAAGTTTATCACCAAAACGCTTTTCATAAATGTTAAATATTAGTTTTAATCCAATGCATTTATTGTCACCGCTAATTTCCAGTATCAATGATAGATAAAATATAATCTTTTGTATCATGATACTTAAGTCAAACACCAGTTTAGGTTACTGCACCAAATATCTCCTATAAATGTTAATCAAAATGACACTAACCTTTGTTGCTGCATTCACGTCCGCTCCATTCTTTAGAAGTTCTGCTACAACAGTCTCATGACCTTCTTTCGATGCAAGATGCAAAGCATTAAGTCCATTCTGAAGAATAAAGGTTAACTAGAATAAAAAAGTGGGCTTTGGGCAAGTAGAAAACAAAACTTTAAACGCGTACTTGAAGAACCTTATTAGCGCTACAGGCATCTATCATTATTGTTTACATTATAGAATTCTAAAAACTATTTAGCAGCATTGTGTTTTCCTAAAATAATTTTAAAAAATACTGAACACTAGTTACAATAAAAGAAGTTTCGTTTTTTATGTTTTTAGTTAAATATTTCTAGTATATATAGGTTTATATAATGTCTTCCATTACTTGTAATTTTTCCTTGAGGATTAAACTATATTCGTGGGATGTTGGTATATGATTAGTTAGAATACTATATTTATTAATATTTTTTATATTTGTATTGGTTTATCACTGAAAAGGTGTAAAAATTTATTTTGCTTTGTAGTTACTACCCCCTTCAGTTATTTGCTCGAGATAGCTCGAGTTAATTCCGGCAAACCATTTCTCGCCGTATTTTTAATTATTTGCCCCAACTTATTCACATGTTATCATGTATTACAATCAATGCTCGCTAGATGGCTTTGGGAATGTTGTTGTTGTTTGCTATTAAGCACAAAGCTACACAAAGGGCTATCTGTGCTATACCCACCACGGGTATCGAAACCCGGTTTCTAGCTTTGTAAGTCCGCAGACATACCGCTGTGCCACAGGGGGGCGGCTTTGGAAATGCTGTTTGTGTTAATATCTATTGGATTTATTCTGAATTATGTTTCATAAACACTGGAGAAAAGCATTCATATTCTTTATTGTATATTTATTGAATTAATATATATCACATATAAATCCAGATAAGTAACATTTATCTAGCGAGTATTTTCTGTGCAGAAATATAACAACAGATCACAAAAATTAAAATAACTTTTGTTTCATTAATATATAAGTGTAGACTATCAAAATACAAAATAAAAACTTGACTTTTTTTTTAGCTCTTTTTCAAAATAGCCTCTCACGGAAGGGGTTAATATTTGTTGGGATTCGATTCCTCGTGGTGGACTGGGTGCATATAACCCATTGTGTAGTTTTGTGTTAAAAACAATAATAACATATCACTAATATGTGTATGCAATGAATGTAACAATTTCATTTTTATAACATTTGCTGTAATGGTTTAAGTCTGGTTATTGTTATTAATGTCCAGCAAACCATTAGTATTGTTAATGCATGATAACTGTTGTTGGGATGCGTCTGGATGTGAGAAATATTTGTTTGTAAATTGTTACTATTTAAACAAGACGCACTGAAGGATACTTGTCAATATCAGCAAAAATTATCACCCTTATAAAAAACCTAACTTTAATACAGATGTTTCGGCTTTTTGTTTACCTTCGGATGGACGTCTTTTATTACAAGTTGAATGAATAAAAGTTTTATATAAACACGATGTCGACGAATCTGACTGGACGAATAGTAAATTTTGAAACCCAAAACAATAAATTATGCTGTTATTCTGATGATTACTGGAGTAAAGTTATAAGTCATACCAAATAAATACAGGAAATAGTACACTTATATATCTTTAATACTGTAGAATTGCTGTTGACAGGAATCTTTTCCATATAATTCTGCATGCCATGGAAAAAAGTCATTCATAGTTTTGTATAGCTTGGTTTTCCTAAAACGTTTCTGGAATTTGATCACAGAATACATCTAATTTATTTTTAAATTATATGATGTTGTGGTAAAGAATTTATGTTAATAATTTTTGGTAAGATTTGTACAACGCAACTAACTGTTCAGGAAATGTATCCCTCTTGGGGATAGGATATTATATACTCAGTTTATTCTATTATGAAATTTAAAGCAGCATGACATGGGGAAATATATATATTTTAATTTTAAAATAAATAAAAGTTTGTTTATTGTTTTACAGTGAGTTGTATCATATCATATTATAAATGTATGTTTATACCTTTAATTATGTTCAAATTACAATTAACACGGCTTACTGCAAACTGTTTCTGATGAAACTGGATTATCCTAGTTTCGAAAACGTTAAATTTATGGGTTTTAATGTATTTGTGTTTTCAGGAAATTATTCCGTAAAGATAAAATGCAGAGATTAAATGTTCTATGTTAGAAATCAGTCACAAATAGATATTTAAACCGTTAATTCAAAGTAAAATATTCTATAAAGAGAATGATTTATTTATTTATGAATGAATAAACGTCGTTTTGAATACTTACGTTATTGCTGGTGTTGATGTCTATGTTGCCTTTCAAGTATTCCAAAAGTTTTTCAATGTTTCCGGTTCTCGCTGCTCGCAGAAAGCTTGCACTGCCATCTGTCTACAAAACATATGATATATATATATATATAGAGAGAGAGAGAGAGAGAGAGG